CTTTGCACCCAAAATATGATTCAGAACCATTTGCGCTCGTGGTATCATAATGGGTTGACTCGTCTTTCTATGGGTCCCATGCTGTTGGTACCGATTATACTATCTGGGCGATTCGAGGCCACAATAGGTAACGGAAGCTCAGTATGTGGCTCTTTAGATTCAAAGTCCTGTGGGTCTGGCACAGCGATATGTTACTGTAGATTGGCTTTGCGTAAATTGAACCGAGTAGTGATGCCTTGAGGGTATATGTAAGTTTCAAAACATGCGTTTACTTGACTGTAGATGGCTGTGAGTCGGACTAGTAGTAGGCATTTTGGGGTGGATGATATGCGGAACGGGGGAGGTGGAAGAAAGAAGTTGACACGGATTGTGCGCCTTGGTGCAGGAGGTGCGTGGATATTGAAGCGGCAATGGAGTTGGGTGATGCGAGGTTGGAACATGGCAAGCTGTAATTGGCTAGATTGATGCTTGTAATGGGCTTACTGCTTACAATGTTCTCTGGACAACTCACTTGATTTCCACATGAGCAAAATTGGTGATTGGTGTTTAGGGCAGATGCATTAGACGTCCTTGATTATATGCTTCTGGTTCTTCTGTATGTGATACTATGATGACGCATGGTAAATGGAAACAGCTAAATAAGCTATTGGTAGGTAAACATGTGGTTCGAAGAGTCATCTCCCTCCAACGAAGCAAGTAGCCAAAGCTACACCCTATGCATTTTTATTACAGACGTCCGGTCCTATAAAGGACTTCATCTCAAGCCATTTTACTCTTGTTGATTATGTATACTGATATAAGCATTCGAACGATCAATCTTCAGTCCGAGGGTCACTACACGACCGAAATAATCATCCTTCATTAGTGAATGAAGATTCCATTTGTTCAAAACATTTTCCGTTCATCAGCATTGTATTGCTCTATACTCGAAATATTCTATAGGTGAGACAGTGATAATGACGTACAGCTGTTTTCGCAGGTGTATCTGAATCTTGGTTGATCGCAGCGTATGATGGAAGTTCTGGAGTCGTCCTTGTCTATAAGCTTCGCTACGTAGTCAATGCCGCTGATCTCACTTCCCTTGAAGTTCTCCAAAATGAAATATATGGTGTTGGTGATGCCTTAGGGATAACTTGGATATGCCCCCTTACCACATACACACCAATCAGTTCATTCTGGGCATAGGTAAGGATGGGGAGGGTTAGAATAGAGACTAATAGTATTTTACTACGGGATTCGATTGTTGAAATGGGTTTGGAAGTCCGGATGTGGAGTCTAAAGATTATTTCTTTGTTTTGAAGGATGGATTCACTGTATGCGTATGTACCGTCGGCTTTATGATCACCTCTGTTCAGTAATTGGTACGAGAGTCTAATATTTTGAATCTGCTGTATGTTGAGTTTCGTTCTATTAGACACGACTTCTCAGTGTGAGTTGTCATCTTTACATGCAGATGCCGTAGTGGTGATGTTCCTGCGCTATGAATTGTTATTGGATGAGAGCCACTCATCTTTTGTTTGCTGTGTTACTGGATTAGAAAGATCATCTCAAAAGCAATGGAAAACGCAGCCTACAATCCTTATGTTTTGACGGCGAGCGACAGTTCAGTTCGTTGTTAGGACAACTTCAACGCGTTTTTTGAACTATGATATCGAACAAAGTCAGGAATATAACTCAAAGCCCAAACTGAGTTGATTGGCAGCGGGATAATGCGGAAAGGGTTGTTTGCGGAGGAGTTGGCCGAATGGAATCGAGCTCCAGAGATATCAACCAGTTGTATGCACGTGCATAACTTGTATATGTTCCTAATTGTGGAGCTGAGGATACTTTTCAACTTCAGTTTGACTTGTCCACAAGAAATACGATCGTCGTGAAAACATCTGGCAGATGATTAAAGGGGGCCGATGGTGATAATTGTCCACGCATCACGTCCTGGTTTGAGCACTAAGCTTCGATCCCGTGCTGACGATAGTAAGAGCCGCCAGCCGATCTCGACGGATGTGGACGACCGATTTCCCAAATCGGGTTTTAGCGCAGAGAATTCAGCTCGAGGTTTCAGAATGAGAAACTCATATCGCCAGTCGAATCGAAATGTTGTGTTGAGTAAGAGTGCATTGGTCGGATATCATGTGTTGGCTTTACAGAAGTGCTGTTTATCCACTTCGAGTATGGAAGTTTTGAGATCGGCAGTCATGATGTCGGGGTCTGGCGTACCCCGCGGGACGGATCATAAATGTTCCTCAGACATCGAGTCATGGGTATCGATTCCATTAAGCGTCCGTGTACTGCGTGATACTTCGCTTTTACAATGTAAAGCGAACCGAGGTACATAAATCTCCTTCTCGAACTTAACCCGCATCCTTAGTCATCGGTACCAGTGCCATGACCCGACGGCCGTGGTTTCTCCCGGTGGATAAGTGCTCTACCACGATGTGTTGAAGCAACGTGTGGATCCACTAGCTGAATATCGTAAACCAAAAAACCCTATTAGTTGAACGGAATAGTGTTTAAAGAAAGACCAGGGACAGTCGCAAGGTTGCGATCATCGATCCATCGACGGTATGTTTGTTCAATCACCTTTTCGAATATGTTCCATAATTTTGTGTCATCCGCTACTGATATGTTCATCAAGGCCGCTCGAGAACGGATGTAAACTAGAGTATAATATTCATCGGCGATGATTGCATTTCAGGGCGGGATCGGATACTTCAACGTACCGCACGAGCTGGGTCGATATAAAGACTTTGGTTTTTGACCCGTCACGCGGTCAATTTGCGCAGATACCATGTCCACGCGAGCATTGGGCGGCGGGAGTCTGGGCTTTGCAGTAGCCTGTTATACGACAGTATATATAGCGCCAAAACAAAAAACAAAACGGCTGATGCGATTGAAGTCCCCAAGACATGGGATGGTGGTTGGAGAAGGCTGGGTCGGATAAGACTTCCAAACGCGGAGGGGAAACCTTAGCCAACGTACGTATGTATGTGCATACACTATGCCCACACAATAGAGAAAGAAATTCCCTGATAGGCACATACGCGAGCTATCCACGTCAGTTTTTCCTGCGCCCATGTTCTTTGTTCGCAGAGTGGTCGTGGGATCCCTGCACAATGCTCGAATAAAGCACCTTGGCGCTTGAACATATCAGATCTGCTATCGCGGCAGTTTTTCGCGAGATAACGACTAATACAACTCCCTATTGGGGAAGGAGATATCATTTGAATGACATGTATCCAATGTGTAATATCTGGCCGAGTATGCTGGGTACCATGAGAGAGCAATGTAGGTTCGTCAGGATAACGTCGGGACTGCTATAAGAGACCTAGTCACGGTCCGCTTGGCCATTGACACAATAACGTTTTAGTAATACTAGGATCCACTGAACATTGAAACTTTCTTTCCATGCAAAAGATTCTTTTCGCTGGCCCAGTTTTCACCTCCGATATAGCAAAGCAAGTACCATGATCAGCCGTTCGTATAGCTTTAATGAGGGAACGTCCAGCATACTGTACCCAAGATGCGTATACGCGGGTTGGCGTTGCCGAAATGACATTCCGCGTACGTCTTGTTTGTATATTAGTAGCATCAATCCGACCAATTGGACATGTTTACTTTGCTACGACATACGATACTAGGCCGCCCTTCCCGGCAAGCCTCGCCGCTATCTTCCGACAAACTTACGGCTGAAAATGGCTTTTATGATCCGGCAAGGACAGTGGTTCTGTGCAAGTGTCATCATGCTTGTGGCCGGTTCTCGGGCTAGAGACGTCCGCTCTTGTCTCGCTTAAGAATGTTCGACATGCAGGCTAATGACGCACGTAGCTGCACCCGCGAGTGTCCTAAGTGCGGACTTTGTTCCGAGCTAATGACGCCGTTTTTTGAGTTCTACAAGGCGGAGATTTTTCATCTCTCTTCTGCCTTCCCTTGGTTTCACCTTTGGTACCGTCTTGACCAGGGAAAAGGACTGTCCCGGAGACCGGTGGGCGCTTCTCAACACTCCAAGGTTTCGTCTAGCGCTGGGCCGCCACGTCGGCCACTATGAAGTTGCGGTTCGCGCTGACCAGGTCGTTGACCTCTGCCGTGCAATAGAACTAGTCCAAGACTTTGATGTTGCTCTTGTCTCGTCGCTCTCCACTTTGCTGATCTAAGGGTGATACGCTTACCATGCATGTGGTATCGGTCCTTCTGACTACTAATACTCGCTCGTCACCGCTCATTCGACTGCTGGACTCTGCGACTAACAGGTGTTGCGACCCAATAGACGGGACATGGTTTTGTTATTACAATCTGTTACACCAATTGGGTGGATACGGCGCCCAGTGTTTTGATTGATACATTCCCACAACATGCCAGTGGTAAGGCTGGTGGCGCTGGGTGTATAGTAGCCATCTTGTGCATGTGGACGGCTCGAGACAGCACAAGAGTCCGCTAGACCACGTTCGGGCTCGATACGCTTTGGTGCCATTTTCCTAGGCTCGATGCTCAATGACATCTTCAGTGCGTACCGAGCTCATACTTTGCTATACGCACCGAAACCAGCAGCGATTTCCGCGTCAGGAGACGAAGCCTTCAACGGAGGCTGACCCGCGCCCCTCTTTGTGCAGTACATAGTTTGGAATATGCTTGACATGTAGGCGCCACTATGGCATCTCCGCCGTATTCTCTTTGCCTAAACTAGATGCATGAGATATCTCGGTTGACTACGAAAAAAAATCCTGCTGTTCCCTTGCTCCTCCGGATCAGCGTATTGTTGTCCCGGCCACTTCAGTGACCCAAGACCGTTTTGGCTGCTATATTCATGCAATACACACATGGCCTCGGCAGCCCTCGCATTGACAACACACATCTGGCTGGTGGCCCATCTTCTTTGTCTTTGATCACTGATGCACACCGTCATCGGTCTGACAAGCCACTCGTGTATCTGTTAGCCAGAAACGACGCGTGGAATCAGCCAGAACATAGACTTGTACCCTGATCCCTCCTCATTCGTGCATATGCGGCTAGACCTTGGTTGCATGTAGCAGTTTCCCGTGCTCGAGCGAGCTTCTCCCAGCAGGCATGCGCATGCTTCCTCCATGGTAAGGCGAAGGCGAAGGCGGAGCAAGGCTTTCAGCCTGAGATGCCGCCACTCCAACCGTCCCACCTATACTGGGCAGATTGGCCACCAAGACGGGCGGGTCTCCTCTTTTGCCTCTTGGAGGCATCCAGTCCTGATGGCCATACCACCGTAGATAAGGTCGTACCTGTGAAGTCTTTGCAACCCCTTATAGCGCCCTGTATCTGATAACTGCACCTGCTAGATTAATCTAATCCTTCTTCACCGCCGTCGAGAGCACTCAGTGTCTCGATGGACGTGTATGTAGTTCCCCTCATGTGCGCCAGCCAACCATCTCACTCATCGAGCGGGGACATGCACCCAGGCTGGCGAGGCCGATTCGACCCACTGTCAGTGGCACCCGCCAATCCGCAAACATGCAGCCTGGTCCTCCCATGCACCGAAGACGCCAACGACCGCAGCGCTGACCCACACAAGTACAGCACTTGCTCGTCTCGGGATCAAAATTGCGTGCGACCTTCCTCCTAGTCTCTCCGCCGTTCATGTACCCACGCAATACCCAGCATTGCTTTGCCCTCACATGACAGCAAGCGTGTGCGGAGTGCCGTGTAGCAAGTTTCAACGTCAATTCATAATCAGTCGCCTTTGCACTCCCTCGAGGACGGCAACACAGGCCTCATCTGCGGTCAGAATGATGAAAACTCACATCACCGCGTCAGAGATGCCAAAACAAGCTAAGTTGGTCAATGGGTCAATTGTTTGCGCAGCTATTTGCAAAGCTACCTACGGTCGCAGCAATGGCCGCAGCTCTCATGTTTGTTGTGGTGGTTGGTGTGGCTCCGTGCATGACACGAGGGCCGTCCTTAGGTCGGACGGCACCACAACACCACCTCAGCTTTTGGCAGCCGCTGTTATACACTCACTTTACTGCAGACGAGCCATGGATCTCTAGTCTTCAATTCGAGTAAAAACATGATGGCCGTACACTTCAATCTATCTCTGTACAAGCAATTGGTCCGGCAATGTGGACTTGTTGCCTCATCTGACAATGAGGCAGACTGGTTGGGATGATTGACGGAAACATGCTGCATCATGTTGCCACCGCATAGACTGCAGCAAAATGCTCACACCTGGAGTCTCCTCTTTACGGCTTCACCGGTAAGAAGGTCGGAATCATGGAGCCCTCTTCATAGGCCGCCAGAGGCAAGCATTCCATGCTGATTATGCGTGGAAAGGTAGGCGAGCCAACGCCGATGCATTCATCAAACCTATGACAGATGGTGACATGAATTTCAGGGATATAGCCTCCTCCTCGATCAACCACATACCGCTCGCCACGTCAGAGGATCTCCGATGGGGCAGGCTTTGGGCGGTTCTAGTGTCTGCCCAGGGAGTCCAGGTGATTGCTTCGACATGCGATGGCGGGCTAGGTTCCGCATAAACTTCACGCCATCCTGTTATCTGAGTGAGGTATGCCTGTCAGCGTGCAGGGCCTAGTTAGTCAACATTGGGCCGGCCACGGTAAACGCCAGCCGTTGAGTGGAGATAGAGATCAGCTGAATGGAGGGCCCAGTCCATGCAAGGCAATATGCATGTGGAGGTTGCTAGTGTTCCATGCAAGTGGCAATGATGGATTATCGGACGTAATGTCTAACATGTAGTACTGCAGCGAGTGGAGATAAGGTGACTGGCCGAGAGCAGCTTGGGTCCGTCGTGTAGAGGCCGGCAGTCGCGGACAGGCGACGAGGGGCGAATGATAGTCTTTAGTGGACGTGAGAGGCAAGAGAGCGCCATCGGTGAAGCTGAGTGATGCTACACAGATTGATTAGCTTGGTCACATACAACAGCTTGGGGGGGTTGGAATATTGAGCGTAACGAGCCGGCAAACGCCCGAAATTTCACGGGTGTGCTTCATGTTAGCAATCTCGAGGACGGACAAACACCCAATCGAGAGCACCGCTGCTACATGCGCTCCATATGTTGGCCAATGCATCTGGCAACGGCTGACCGTAGCTCGTAATGGAGAAGGGGTGTCCAGGGCTCTCAGGGTTTGTTGGCGTACTTTCCTCCTTTGGCGTCCGCTGTTGGTATCTCAGCGGACATCATTGGCCAATCGCTTGTTTCTCCCAGGAAAGAATATCTGGAGCGGACTGTGACTCGGCATGAACCACATAGCACGTGATCACAACTCGGTTCAGAAATGCTCCATCTCCCATAGCATGAGAGGCCCGGAATGCTCGAAAACGACATACCACAACATCCCAGAGCGCCCGCTAAGGCAATTCGACAAGGAAGATGAGGGATTTTCACATCCGGAACTCGGGGTTACGTGGTTCGTGAAGCCACGACACGTTGATCCCCTAGCATATGTGATAACTCTCTGCAGCTGGAAACGCCGGCACGGCCTAGGGTTCCATTGCAGCCCGTCTCCGCATTGTTTTAGCGTCAGAATGAAAGGGATTCGTGAATCGTAGCGATGTCGTTGGACGGGACGAGGTGGGGTGCAACCACGTCGACGGAAGGATAGGCCATGGCAGCAATCTATGGTCTGACAACGAAACAGTCTCGGGTGCCAGGAGTGGCCCATGAGGTCGGCGAGAGGTATGCGTCCGTAAGGATAAATAGCGGTATGCTGCTGCTTCCAGTCTGGCTCTACACTCAGCTCAATAGCAACCTCCAGTCGTTGACGAGATCTTTTGAGCATCTTCCAACTCTTGTGACATCGAGTCCAACAACTGACCCACCTCCTACCCCTTAGACATTGATCATTGTTGTTCAAGACTCTCTATCATCCAACCATCCAGTGTATGTGCTCTTGAGGCCGGAGGTCAAAGACCCCTGAGTTGACCGATTCCAGGTACGAGATCGCTGGTCCTATCAAGCAGGTCCAGTGTTTGAACAAGGAGTAATACGTACGTATTGGAGACCTGTAATCCAAGCTTGAGTACCAAGGCTAATGTATAACCGAACCTCAGACGACACAGCTCTTCTACTCTGAAACATGTGCTTCTACGACCAGCACCGTTTTGTCTGTGGCGATTGGAAGTGGGGCCATTTCCGCCAGCACTGCGCTAAAGAGTACCGAATTGGCGAGACGTGTGGCATGAAGCTCATCATGCAAACGGTTCCTACTGGCACATACTGCAAGCTCTGCGAGAAGATCAACACCAAGATGCGCCGCCGAGCCGCTGAGGTGGACCGTGTCGGCCGATGGCAGCGCGAGGCTCACAAATTCGCGGCCTCTATTGAGAAATCCATGGAGATGATTCGCGCATTGGACGGGGAAATCTGTGAGCTAACCAACGAGCGTAACCGCAGACTGCAAGCGATTCACTGAGCTCGGGGTGGACATGGCGCAGGCGTCTGGGAGTTTTCGTTTCATGTACAACGTCTTGGTATTTCCTTTCAAATTGAGCCCGTTCAACTTTTGTTTCTGGGGTCGACATGAGGCAGGAAGAGCTGCTATTGAAGGAAAAGGAGCGGCACATGGAAGACCGGGCGTTACCTCTTACAATCGCTTCTTTTCAGTCATTGAATCTTCTTGGGATTGGATAGTTCAATCAATCTTTTTTCTCCTGGCTTTCATGATTGGCTACATGCTCAGTCGTTGTGAACGTAGCCGCTGTGCCATGAATTGGGGGCTGAACCCGTCCAATCCGCGAATGTCGCGTAGCCGCGAATAGAAGTGGAGAGGTGGTTGCGCACGGCCCAGGCAAAGGAACGGCGCTTCTTCCGATATCTGGGAGATGCGCAATAGAGTTTTGACGGGAGCGTTGTAGACATGCAGCAAGCCAAACGATAACGTCGGGATAGGAAGAGTGGAGGAGCGGACGATGAGGATGTTGTTTTGTCGAGGGACAGCGGTGGGGTAATTTCGTAGCTCGGTCGGCACGTGATGGCGCTAAGGGTCGGGGCGGATAGCGTCATCGAATTCGGCCGAAGATATGCCGATCTTAACGCATTTACCATTATGTTACCAAGTAGCTCACCACCTCAACATCATTTTGCGTATCTCGAAAACTTTCCGCTGAGACCAGTCCGTAACCTTTCCACCGAGATGTTGGCTTTAAACCCCTTCGGTGGGTTGTAATCCACGAGACCAGGCGTAGCAGCTGACTCCCTCTCACTCTGTTATCCCTTGCTAGTGTGAGTCTTTGCGTACCGGATCAATGGAAGACATGCGTCGAAGAGAGGGGTAACAGTATGAATGAGACAAAGCAAGAGAGGGTATGCTCATGTGATCGATAGCCTCACGCTTGACGTGAGCTCAGTCCTGAGGATCTTCCTATGGTTTGCCGGTATCGCGACGTATTCTTCGTCCATGTGGCGCTCGATTATCCTTCAATCGTTCAACGGTATCGGTATGGGCAATGCTGATGAAGAGATTTGAGGTCCTGAGAGTGCCATATTAGTCGGAAGAGCCAGGAAGAAAGGCAGAAAATGTCGACTTACGTGGCGAACGCTGAGTGGCCTGAAAGGCGATCGATCGCCCTTCACACGCTGTCCCTGAGTTATGCTCACCAGTACACTCGTAGGCGTCATAGCCAATTTTATACCACTAATATCCCCTCGAGTGCCGTCTAGTGCATCCGTGTGTATAAGAGAATGGGGTTTTGGCAGCGCGGAAGAGGGGTGCGAGAATGGTACGGGCCACCCCAGCTTAAGAGTATCTTGTGATCGTAGCCCTAACACAGCGACTAGACTTAAGCGCCCGTGGTATAATACAGTATTTCGCTCGTGTACCGTAGCTTTTGGTTGGGTTCAGAGACGCAGCTGGGTGGATGCATAAGGCGATACCACGACAACATGGCCAATAAATCGACTCGACGTGTTGTCAATAGGCCCGCAAGACATGGTTCCTACATGGCCTACGACCGATCAACCATCTTTAGGCCGTAAAATGGACGTATTGGGCTACAATCAGTATAGTTGTGCTTAGCCGGAACGCATGTAAAGCACAGGATGAACCAATCAGGGCCTGGAACAGCTCATTCAGATGAGCTGGGCAACCTGCTCAGTGGCATCCTCATTTCGCTCCATCTCAGATGCGGGCGACTATCCAAGTCGCATGTACCGGCGGTACGTACTCTTTGGCGCTCACCAATTCAGCTCGTTTCGTTGCGACTACGAGCATTGCGCATGACGACTTTACCCTTTCGGGTGGATCTTACCTTCCATAGCGCTCCCGCAAATTATATGCATGTCGGAACGGACGCACACTTAGTCCCGCACCAATCCGCGATATACAACGCACGCATTGTGTACGATCCGTTGAATGTCTACCTGGCCATCTCCATTATTGCCCCCAATCGTTGTTCAGCGCTGGCTGTTGCATGATGGAAACAGAAAGCGGGAGCCCATGCGTTCAGACTCCATGCAGTCTCGCTGTGACCAAAGAAACCCTCTGCTTATTTTCAAAGCCTCCTCAGCCTATGCAGACCTTGTAGGACATGCGATTGTGGTACAACGTTTGCCGAGCGTGCGACCAATCACAGCCCAGAACAGGCATTCTGCCTCAACTGCAAGCCGCCGACTTCGCCCAACAGGAACAACGATACTCACAACTCACAGGGGCGCTAAAATGCATTAATCTTCTCTAGAATTCCAGTCATGCCATCTGTAGCAAAAGTTGGTGCAGCATTGTGATGGCGTGGTAAGTATTTACGTACAACAAGCCTTCATGAACCAAGAGGTGCGCTTACCCTTACGCACACCGGCGGCTCGCCTCGCAACGTATGTCTAGGATAGCCCTTGTCAGTCAATGCAATGCTTGAACCCCCACGTCTCTTTCAAGAGCAATGGTAGTGATTTGTGGGTATGCATCGAAGGATTCCACTAGGTGTCAAATAGCCGTGAGGCCAACACGCCTGATTATGCGAGCAGCTAGGTAAACACCAAAAGGAATTCCAGTCATGTTCTTAGCCGTATGTAACTATGTCAACCGGAATCTCTGACATTCCGCGTTGTTGTATCAGGTTCTGTACACCCAATTTATCTGAGCCATCCAAAGGTCAAAGAAGTGAATTTAACCGAGTCAGAAGCCCAGTATGATTGGGAGGAATTAGGCTGTAGGCACTGACTCGGCGAACATCATGAGAGCTGACGGGTATGAAGTTTGAGGGACTGATGCTATCATCGTTCAACATTTGTGCAGTCAACAAGACCAAGATAGCGACGCGGACATAATCAGAGTGGAATTAGTGCCAGCCAACTCACCTGTGGTGTATTCCAGACGTGGAATGTTGTTTGAAATTTCAAAAAATGTCAAATAGAATTAAGGGCAGTAGAAAATTCTCCAGATGACCAACCCACCTTACGACGAATGTTGGAATCTCAAAAGATGGGGTAGACGCCCAAGGTCACGTGATTGTACTCAAATGTGGCACAGGCATGTGGCTAGAAACTGCCAAGAGGCCGGGCATGTTTGGTGCCGATCATCACAACTCCAAGGAACCAACCCTTGTCGCAACAAGTGATAGCAACATTCTTCTTATTGCACTGGATAACACGCTGTGTCGAGGGGATCACCATCTGCACGCTTCTAAGCTACTCACAAAGCAGATTTTTGGCCTCCGCTGTTGTGCCCTCCCAACACCGCTTTACTCACTACGAAACACGCCCTTTACATTGCAATGGGTGTTTGCGCGTCGTGCTTAGGAGGGCAGAGGACTTCGGATATAGATGTGAGTCGCTCTGTGTGCGCTTTTGTAATGGAAAACCAGCTGAAATATCCCCTTGTAGCAGTCGGACGCTTCACATCTTCTCGGGGACCAATACCAACCCAACTATGGCACCGCCAGCAGCACTCACAATGTGCCTCAGCCCGACCCTGAGGAGCTTCGCCGCCAGCGAGAGAACCTGGAGCGTATCTGCGCCGAAACGAATGAGTAAGTCTCTTGTATTTATGGACTTTCTTGATCCCAGCTCTGATGTCATCCCCTATAGACAATTGATCCCTGTTTCACAACCGAGCGCACTCCCTGAGGTCTCGGAGCAGCCGTCCAAGAATGACGAGTATGCTCATCTTTTCAACGAACGCTTCAAGTCCATCAGACACGGCCGTCCAGCTTCCGCCGGTGACAACGAAGACGACGAAACAACCTGGCTCGAGAACGCTGTAGGCAGCCAAGGAGAGGACGAGCTGGATCAAATTAAGCCAGCCAACGGAAAGCTGACGATACAATTCGGTCAACGATAGACACACAGAAATCCGTGACCAACGCCACAACGTATTCGCTCGAGCCCTCCTAGGCAGAGATGTGTTGCATCTTCAGATGTTTATTTTACTCCTTGTATGACTACCCATTCCGGATACCCGTAATATTTCCTTTATCCTCAGTATTCTTTCCTTTCAATCAACATTGTCTCTGCCATTCGCATATTTTCTAGTGTTACCATAGGCAGGTTCAAGATACCTTTTTTCTGCATCTGTCAATATTCTATCATCTTTCTCACAATTCTCACCAGTCGAAGAATGGTATCTTGAATTGAAATATTATTTCCTCTGCTCGTCAAATCATACTGTTGAACGAGATTGGATTCTTTCCCCATAATTACCATCAACCCATAAGGCAAATGCCAGACTACTATACAAGATCTCTCCACCAACGGCTTCATATGGTCCCTCGTGGATAGTCTACAGCCGAAAGAAGCATGAACACCACAATTACCGCCAAACCTCATGGCCAGTGCCCGACTACTATACGAGGACCCTCCACTATCCACTTTCCAGGATTCCGTGTGCATAGTTCACAGCTGAAAGAAGCAGGAATACAAAGCAAAAGCAATCCCAAGGGGAGAACATTGGTGATGGCGCCTAATACATGCCGTGGACGAAGACACCTCCCCACATTATACCATAACATCAGCCGGACGGAGGTGGCGGCGAGGTCGCAGACAAAGTCGCCGCTTCATCCAACTCATGCAACGCGTGCTCCGCAACCCCATCCATCAAGACGCCCAGTTCGGTAGTGTACTTGTTGGGGATCCTGTCAAGACGCAGGTTCAAGCCCGGAAGTAGCAGACGCCGGGGTCCATATTCCTGTTTCTTAAATGTTTTCTTTCCCCATCCCATTGCTTCAATCAACATGATACGGAGCAGGGTTTTGCTGTCATCTTCGCCAAGGTTGTTGGCCTCCTGGTGCCTCTTTGCTTCTTTCTCAACGAAGTCGCGGACAGTAGTGGCGGTCTTGTAGTCTGGAGCTTGCTACGCTATCGTCAGTATTCGACCCTGAAAAGAAGAACGGAAGATGGAATTTGGGTAGAGCTTCTTCAACTACTTACGTGTGGAGCAGGTACACTGGGCGTTGTATCGCCCGCAGCCAACTTATCAGCTTCCATCTTCTCTAACTTTTCGCGAACCTTCTTCTGGATGTTCTGGTAGATCTCGTCGGCTGTGGGTCGACGGCGGCCGTCTCGCTGCATGATGGCTGGGATGCGTCCGGCTGGGTTGTGTATAACGGGCTCGCGGCGGGCTAGCAGCGGCTCGTCGTAGCCAACGATGCAATTTTGATATAAGAGATCGTCGTAGGGGTAATCTTCGCGCGAGTAAGTGACTGGGACCCGGGGCCGCGCAGTCTCCAACTGTGGGGTTAGAGGCGCTGGGTACGCTATATTTGGGTTTGATCGCGAAGCAGCACGAGTGGTTGGCGGTGCCCTGGTGGCGGTTGCGAGAGCACTCTCGGCAAAGGAGAGGGTCTGGTGTCGTTTACTGGGAGTGGGATATGCGTGGTTGAGCTCGCCCTCACCCTCAGACGACTCTTCCGCCTCGCTGTCCTTAACGCAAGAGCGGCCGCGTGACCGCTTGCCTGCTGTCGGCTTGGGTACAAAGGGAGTGTGCTTGCCTTCCTTGATAGCACTGTCCGCACACTCCTTCGACTCATCCTCGTCGACCTCCTCGGAACTCTTGGCCTTGGCTGCACTACCTACTGGCTTCTTCCTCGACGCCCTCGCTCCAGCACCACTTGGAGTCGCAACTCCAGTCTCCTCGGGGGATGGCATGTTGCCATGGACAAGTCCCTTACCTTGACGCTGACGTTTCTCATAGCATGGCTGGCAGACCTGAAAGGTACAGCCGGGGCAACGCCGCATGGTATCCATGTTGCGTTTGTCGCACTCGGTACACTTGGCCGTGTGTACAGCTACTCTGGTGTATGATGGCTCGTCGACAGTGCAAGCGTTCGGAGCTGTACTTGCAGGCGTGTGAGGTGTTTGTGGTGGGGGAGGGCTGTGGGAGTGATTTGGTGTGTTTATATGGGGCGGGGTGTTTGCACGGAATGAGTCGCAGTGAATGTGTGTATTTTTTGGCGTGAGTGTGAGGTCTTGGTTGCCCGTGCCACGGCTTCGGTCCGGTATGGTAGGAAGATCCATCTTTTCGTTTGTTTGACGCAGCTTGGGTGCTTGTGTGTTGTTTGTTAATGCTTCGCTTGGGTGCTGTAACTGTACAGAGAAGAGGTTAGATTTGGACGTTTGCACTTGCAAAAAGAAGAGGTGGCGGCGAGAAAAGGGGGCGACTGTGGTGGAGGAGGAGGTGGTGGTGGTAGTGGTGGGAAGAGGTAGGATAAGGTTGTGAGGAGTATTTAACAATGGGAGGGTCAGGGTGAAATGGTATTGTGCTAAGAGTAGGAATCCGCTCACATCCACTAATGTGATTGGTCCGTCTGGGAGGGCAATTCACTCTGGATGGGCTGGTTTTCGGGGTGTCTAAGCTACAACTCTACAAGATTGATGTATACACATTTATGTGCACAGTACGAGTTACAGAGAGCAAGGGGCTAGAGTGGAATATATATATGTACAACACATGCCCGGTCAGGTACGTGAATGAAGTTTGAATGCCTTGGGAACAAACTCGTTTGTTCTTCTTTACCGTGAAGGGACTCTTTGGTGTGTTGATTGGCGGGTAAGACGTTTCATGCCGGTATGCCTTGTCACTGAAGTCACGAGTTCACGATATCGCCCTTGACTCGATGGAAATGGCACATGTGCGTTGTCTTCAAGTCTACGCTCGCGATGTTCAAACGCAGGAAGCGGTGAAGGATATCTAGTGCTGTTGAACAAGACACGAATTGGGAAACACATCCAGCCCCCCTATTAGCGTAAGACGGGTGTGACACTGGCACGGATGGACGGTCATTTTAAGCATTGAAACGGGCCCCATGCTCTGCCGTGCGAACAGGCGGGGCGTGTGGGCCGATCTCGGGACCCGTGTCTATTTGCAAGATGCTCGCCATGATGAACTAGGTGTCGTCTTTTGGACTGCCAATGTTTGGTCGTGCCCAGAACAAGGGCAAAGCTTGAATTTCTAAGTACCTTGGCAAAAGGAAGGCTCTTCCCTGACAGCAGTGAGAAGGCATGGCAACCAGGGGATATCGACAAAATGGGACTGGGGCTCGCATAGGAAAAAAGGTGTCGTGCTATATTGTGTTCATAGCGAACGAGGCTATATCCGGGGCTGAGGAAGAGAAGCAGACTTGGCCATGATATCGTGGAAAGAAAAGAAAAGTGAAATAGCTGCATCTTGGTTTGGAGGGGAGGGTATCTCACGCCGAGCATGACATGCACGTCAGCCTGTGGGTGACAGTACCAGGTGTGTAGTCGAACTAACCCTTGCCTATCGCGTCACCGACGTGGTTTGCAGCACGGCTAACCGCATTCGTGCTAACCACCATGTTCCAGCCCTACACTCGCAGCCCACGATATGTACTCATAAAGACTAAAGCGCGCGTTGCAATTTCGTTGGCTTCCTTTGGCGCCCTTTACTTCAGCGCTGATGGGGCCTAAGAGGCGTCGTTGGTATTGCGCTCCTTGTGCCGTCGGACTTCTGCCTGGAGCTGCCCCGCTGAAAGCGCATAGTAAGTATTTAGACTCCCCACCTCTTTGCCATCGCGTATACACGCTTCTTATCGGTCATCGTTTTGAGCAAATGGACCTTCGGCAGGGATAATTTTAGCTGCCCGACAACGCACGGGAGCCCCGAGGTGCAACATGGTTGACTGCTGCGTATAGCGTACAGGCGCGTATAGGCTTAGGCAGCGGTGTGCAGCAGGGGTGCAAGACATGACCGCGCCCTTACTTACTAGCCACACCCACTCATCTGCCAGCAACCAGCGTTGCTGCATTTTGACTGGAGAAAGCCTACTGCGTAGTATGTGGGAGCTACGCAGAACCCACCCGCTATGTATCACCCTGTCCTGGCCATCGAACGCCGGTGCAATGAATGGTGCAAGCAAGGGCATGGCCTGTCGCTATACAAGAACTCACAGCCCTGCCCTCACTGCGCATCTCTTTGCGAAACATCAACACGCCTTCGGGCCATCATCAATCCGAGCGCAGATACTCTACATCTATACGCCATACTCCTAATCTAATACACTCCCCGTTTCCTTGGCTGCATACGTCGGCTGTCATCAAGCGGATGACGGTCTTGTGGCGGTGCTGCAGATCGTACAGCCCCCAAATTCTTGGAACAGGGTTTTTCGACTCACTCTTCGCTGACGCCGAATTCCTAGGATTCTAGGCTCTGTACTCTCAGCGGCCTCTTTCAAGCCACTTGTGGACCGGGGGTGTTTGGTGATATCGCGTCTACTTTAAAAGGGTTGCGGACAAGAATAAAAGGTCGCCTGTTCAGCCTCCCCAAACACTGGCGTGGTTTGCCTCCCAACCACAATCGTCTCAGGCCAGCTCTGGCACAAGTGGGATTCCTGAACCTTCAACATACCCACCACTTCGACCCTCATCATGGATCAAGACGAATCGCTACCTCCGTTCTACTCGGCCACAGTGCTGCTGAGTTACATGCACGCTCCTGCAGTTGGCTTCTATTACCTAGGAGCGTGCATGTTCGGTCTTTGCATCTTACAGAAAACACGAATGGTGCCACAGAAAAGACGGATAAGCATACTGGCTTTCATGGTCACAATACTCCTGGCATACATTACAGAAGTCCTCTACTACCTCAGCCGGTCGATAGCCGATTCCGAATACACAGCTCCGCAATTCTTCGCCATACGGTGCTTGGGCTCCATACTCGTCTGGAGTCCTCTGTCTTACATGTTGTGGGCAAGCAAATCACTGCGCTGGCATGCGTACTTTGGAGCATTTGTTGTGCAGTTTGCATTCGAGGCGACGACTTGCCTGATCACAATTTCCACCGTGCCGGAACCATTCTCAGAAAAGTACCCGCCTTTGATCATTAGC